GAGAGGGACGGAGCCTCCTCGGATCTGGACCCTGACGCTCTCAACCTCTCCCCAGGTGCCACTGCCCAACTCGGTCTTCATCAACACCACGGAGTCCTTCGAGGTGGAAAGGTCAGTGAAAATCCCTTCTCTCCCCTAAGCCTTGTTTGGGACGCAGATGGGGCACCAAGTCACCTTCTGTCTTCCTATGTCTCCACCCGCTCCGTCGCCTCGGTGCTGGGCAGCTGCTGGCATAAGTTGCCAGCGCCAAGGACAGCAAGAATCCCAGTGCCTAGTCAGAGCCATGCAAGACTTGCCCAGTCTGCGCCGCAGCCTGTGCTCCGGGAAGGGCCAGAGGGGGGACTCAACAGGGCTAGCGTTTGACACAGCAGTGCCACGCCTCGGGTGTCCCCCAGGAGACTCAGAAATGGGGTCTCCAGCAGCTACACATACACCGGCGGTCACTGCATCACTGGTCACAAGAGCCAAAGGTGTGACCAACCCCTGTGTCCACCAGCAGTGGGACAGGTCATCTGAAAGTGGCCTTGACATGGCTTCTGCAGCTAGATGCCATTTGTGATCGGTGGCAACCATATTGCCAGAGCAGGGCTTTTTCTAGGGTGTGATCTACCACTTGCTGCCAGTTCACTGTACTGTGGTGGCTGGTGTGTTGCTGCAACACTAGAAGCTCTGCTACTGGCATTTCAAACACCAGCAGTGCCACTCATGGTGGACCGGTTTCCGTGGAGGGTAAGATAGACAACTTGGGAAGCACAGTGGCCACTGGGCACGTGAGGAAGAGCAGCAGCACGTTGTCTGATGGAGCGCTGGAAGATGAGCCCCTCATCTCGGCAGGCACTCAAAATATGACTTGGGGAAGAGCTTCCTCCTTGTGTGAGTCCGGGTAGACCAGAGAAACAAATCCAGGGAGACTCGGATGTGTATAGAAAAGAGTTTTATAGACAAGAGCAATTAAATATTGAGAAAACATCCCAACCCAGTCCAGATCAAGTCCATAAGTCCGATATTAGCCCATATGTTTGATACCAAACTATAAAGTCCTCTTCAGACTCACACAGCACATGCAGTGATGCCGAATGCAGGAAGATCACAGGCCAGTGGGTGGGAAGTCTTGTGGATCCAGTGGCG